CTGAATTATCGCCAGAACACTTGCGATTTAACTTGCGATAGAAGCATATACTACAAGATGGTCAGGCCCCGATTTCAAACTGAGTTTGAAACAGATGAATTTTTAACTCAACTGCATTTTTAAAATAAAGAAAGATCAAACAACTTAAGTAATCTATCTACCAGACTCAAATTGTTTTCTATGTTTGGGTTTGATATCGATTTCAGTTCCCTGCGTTTTCTCAATTTTCTCAAAACTCAGACTTAAGTTCGTTTCGAGAAATCGGGACCAGTTTATTAACACTGTATGCATTAGTGATGTTAATGTATTTGTCTGCTACTTGCACACCCATGAAGATCCGGGTTAGAATTGGTGTTCAGTAACCCGCTAACGGGATCGGGTGGTCAGGCTCGCTGACCTGGTTCACACATGTCATCGTATCCCAATTGCGTAGCTGGATGCTCATGCACTGTTTGCAATACTTTACTTTGCCAGTTGGCCATCAAGGCCTGCTGTCGCCTGCAGGAATACCAGGGAGTGAAACTGTAAGTTCTCGTAATTATAACATGGTGGATCATGGATGATTCCAGAACGTTAATAAAGAAAAAAAGGGAAAGATTCCAGTTGAAAAAAGACATAATTTACTGAGGGCCACAGGGGCCTGCAGATATTTGAAACTGCCGGCCCGATACAATAACAACCGGCGCTAGACTGTCTGGTTCAGACTTGGTTATTTTGGTTATTTACAGACCGCCGTCATATAGCTGGACTTTTGCTGAGTGCGGCGTTAAACAACAAACCAACAAACCAACCAACTGCTACTTCACGGAGTGAAATGGGTCTGACTGACCACTGCAACTTATACACCAGGTTCTAAGTGACCATTTCTCCCCTAAATACCCGACCCGTGTAAAATGATGTTTGATGACCGAATTAAAAAACATGCTCCAAAACACTGTATGTAACTATGAGAACAAATTGGCATATGATGTATTAAATAACTGAAGGAAGAAGGTTCCATCAACGTCCAGTGTGTTTTAATTTTCAGTTCAGTTTGACAATACCGATTTGAAACTTATAATCCATGATTTAAAAGTATATTTTCTTTCAGTTTCCCAACCTGTTCAGATCATCGGTCCCTATAAATCCCGGCGTTCTGAACCCCAAACAAACCAAATTACAAACAGTCCTGGTCTCGCAGTGTTTGTCTCAATCAATCGTTCATCCCCATCCCGAAGTAGGGATGTAAGAGTTCCGTATATCGTCGTCCACGTTGCCTATGAGCGATGTTAGAGAATCGTGCAGTCAGTTGCAACCAATGGTTTGTCAGGTTCAGATTCCATGACTTCCAGGTGAATGACTGTTATATTACTGATGGTGATGTACATAAGCAGTCATTCGCCCAGCCCGTAAGACTTACAGCTTGGAAAGTGGTTAGCCATCTTCCCTAAAATAAGGAAATGGGGGCAGTAAGTTATATGCATCATATTCCATAATCTCGTAATTACAGTATAGTAGCTCTCAGTAGTATACTCGGATTCCCATCGACAAGGATTATGGTGTAGTGAATCTTAGTGGTTAACTGGGATTCTCCCAACAAGGATTATGGCGTTAACTGGGATTCTCCCAACAAGGATTGTGGCGTTAACTGGGACACTCCCAACAAGGATTATGGTGTAGTGAATCTTAGTGGTTAACTGGGATTCTCCCAACAAGGACTATGGCGTTAACTGGGATTCTCCCAACAAGGATTGTGGCGTTAACTGGGATTCTCCCAACAAGGATTATTGCGTTAACTGGGATTCTCCCAACAAGGATTATGGCGTAGTGAACATACCTTGCCTATAGTGGTTAAAGTAGAACTCACGCTCCCCACCCACAGCTCTTTTACAGACCAAGCCCTAATCTTACTGGTAGACCTTGCCTACAACGGTACAGTTCCATAGCCACACCTGTTTCACAGTGTGACCCCCAACCTTACTAGTGAACATAGACTTGCAATGGTTACAGTAAAACATCTCCCCACCCCGATCAACTCCCTCACCCCTCACCCCTACCCCCACCCCGACAATGCTCACATACTGCTTCCACAGGTTTCGGTGCGTTAGTCCACCTCTGCACACCGACAACAGGTAAAATGTAATCGACCGCCCCGCTCTGTCACGTCAATACCTAGCCCTCACAGGCAACATCTGGTGCCATAGACAAGGCTCCCACCTCCTGCCTATAGAAAATGTCTTAATGATTCGTTCTTGTTCAGTAGTATGAGTGCTTGAGAATTGAGGTTAGGCGCTAGGGATCTAGCTTATTATCTGGAAATGGCCGCTGTGCTCCATGTCGGGATGGCGACACCCAAGGTAGGTTTGTAAAAGTAGTGTACAAAAGAATTAATTACCGGAGTTCTCTATTTCACCTATGTCCCGTTATAATGATCTTGATGTGTTTGCTGACGAAAGTCCCTTGTGGTTAACATAAGAAATAGTTAAAATAGTGAAGTATTTTCAGTACTTCAAAATGCATGTGAACAGTACTAAATAACACTGCATCCCTCAGAGCCAAATACCTATTTGATGTATATTTGATAGTCAGCGTCAGTTCATCAAAATTCGATACCAAACAATATGCTTGTATTTCTAGCATTACATTGTACATAATTATTTTAACAAGATAGTAGGGCGTTTTAAAACTATGTCACCTGAAAATGAAAGGTGTCATCTTTGATGAATCTCAATGAAAGGTATTATCTATTATCAATGTAACGCGAAAAGTGATCAAGCAACAGCGAAACAGGATATGTCATGTTACAATGTTGCCTAGCAAATATTACCTCAGTAGGAACACCACTGACATTTGCACACTAAGAAAACCATTTAATGGCAGGAATTATTGTTTTCATCGATCTATGAGGCTGACGACAGGTGGAGAAACTCGTGCGTTACATAGATACCAACGGGGATATTTAAGGGGGTCCTGATGAACAGAGCATTTAAGATGTTGTAGTAGATCTACAACAGTGTAGACCCTTGGTTTTCACTGACCATGGGAAATACTAAGTAGGCTAGACATCCTGGCGGATACAAATTCTGTATATGGGTACATGTTACACCGTCCAGGTCAAACAACGCTCACCGTAATTGTTTGTGAACAATCATATGTCAACCCTAATCTTGTAGCGACATAATTTCAGCCAAGCCTTTTGATACACACACTCACTTCATATTGGTTTTAATGTTATAAACAATTATTGAACAAACACGCCTTCTTTAAGTACCTCCTTTCACATGGCACCACACGTGTTGGGGGCCATTTTGAAATATTGGAATTTAAGATACATGCTGGTAGATACACAGATTGGATTATATTTTATATCACAACCATAGTTTCAGTGTGTATTTTCCTATTTTTTTAAAGGCGTATGTTATGTTACAGACACCCGTGTTCCCAGTTCCTGAACTGTCCCTATTGTGATCCTAATCCAGATAGATCTGATAAAATAAATAAACAGATATATATCTGTTCGACTATCATTTAGTCAAATGTGTCTTGGCTTAATAGAGTCTCAATATTACTGCAAGCTAATGTTACAGGAATGTTTTAGGGTCCAAAATATCAATGTTATAGGGTCCAAAATATCAATGTTATAGGGTAGAAAGTATCAATATTATAAGGTCCAAAATATCAACATTATCCATAATATCAATATTATACTGTACAAAATATCAGTATTATATGATCCAAAATATCAATGTTATAGGGTCGAAAGTATCAATGTTATAGGGTCCATAGTATTAATATTATACGGTCCAAAATATCGGTATTATACGGTCCAAAATATAAATGTTATAGGGACGATAGTATCAATATTATAGGGTCCCGGAATGTATCAATATTATAGGGTTGAAAGTATCAGTATTATAGGGTCCATAATATCAATATTATATGGTCCAAGATATCAATATCACAGGGTCCAAAATATCGACATTACAGGAACGGGTTTTGTAACTTCTGTTTATCATGTTGAGGAGCTTGCTAATGATCATATCTGAATACGCGTCTGACTACAGGCATTGTTGTCCAAAGCGCCGCCCATAACACTGTTTAAAGTAGTGGTATAGTTTATGTTCTAAAATATACCCTGGTAACACTGATTAGCAAGTGGTTTTAGATTCAACCCATATGAACAAAATATTTAACAAACATGCATTTACACTTTGATGAAGGACGGAACCATGCTTATAAAATGGCGACGAAATGGGCACGACTTGCCATTCGGCATCACACGGATTGACTGGACCGGACACGAGCGGCGTCCGTCGTGCGGTTTATGCCGCAGCACCACTGTGATGCATGTCATGAGATTCACGCTGATGTAATGCTGACTACAGCACAAATACTACTCCACCTCTCGCTGAATGTAATCGACCCATATAATCAAGCAGTGCACTAGTTTTGAATTGGCAAACGATATGTAGATCCAGAATTACAATTTGAATTTTCGGTTTGAGGTGAGGTGAGGTGACATTGGGTTTAACGTCGTGCTTGAAACGATATATGTAGATCCTGCAGTACTAGCCCAACTTACAATAATCAGTTCCCACAGACAATGGCGGTTACTGCTCAGGCGGCAGTTTCGTCTTTGGTATGTTTGACCTCAGTGTTTTAAGTATCGTTATTATTCTTGTTGTTTGTTTGTTAGTTTGTTTGTTTGATGGTTTGTTTGTTTGCTTTTCACTCATTATTCCCTTGGGATGCGGTTAGCATCTGGCCTACAGTAACGGTTCTCTTCCTGAGCCTCTCCGCTTGTCGTGAGTTCGAATCTCACATTTACCCTCGGGACGTTACCACTGTACATGAATTCGATGACTTCTTCAAACTGAATAACCTTCGTCATTTAATGCGTTCCTTTCACATAAGTCAAAGGCGTCAAACCCAACTCACTAGTAAAGTATATACTTTCTGAATCTGTGTATGGTTAACCTATTATTTACTTGTTGGTTGATCCGTGTATCTGTCTGTTCTAGGTGTTGACTGTTTGCCGACGATGGAAGAGTCGGCCCTGACGCTAGGGGTGACATCAAACTACACCAAATACGACAGCACAGAGACGCTCATCTCCGATGATGCGGGAAAGAACTACGGCGGTATGACTGCAGACCTTAGCAACAACCTGGGCTACCGACTGCGCAGGCGGAAGGAAGTCCTCAGCCAGCGGAAGCTCATCGTTGACATCAGCTTCGTGCTTGGCGTGCTGGGGATCGGATTTGTGATAATAGACACAGAACTTATTTTCAATCAAGTGACTTCTGCGGACTCGGGGTTATCAACAGCATTGCGTGTGTTGACCTCAGCTACGACGGGAGCACTTCTCCTGGCGGTGGTGGCCTATCATGTTATAGGGCTCCGATTGCACATGGCTCGCGCGGGATTCTCCGACTGGAGGTTGGCTATGACGGGTAACAAATGGATTAAACTCATCTTTGAGCTGATCGTGTGTATGATTCATCCTCTGCCGTTCTTAGACATTCCAATACAGACTGTATCAGTCGCCTCACAAGGGAATACCCTGAAGACGTCAACGATCCCAATCAACGCAATTCTGACAATCCTCATGTTTCTCCGGCTTTACCTGTTTGGGCGTTTTATTGTTGTACACAGTAAACTCTTCCTGGATACTTCAGTTCAAAGTCTTGGGGCTCTCAGTCGCGTCAAGATCAACGCCCAGTTCGTGTTCCGTGCGCTCATGTCCACCATGCCCGGTGTCGTGCTGACCACGGTGATGTTTGGGATGTTCATCATCAACAGCTGGAACCTCCGCGTGTGTGAGATGTACACCAGCCCCGTCGAGGACGACCTCGCCAGCTTTCCTCAGGCCATGTGGCTCACAGCCGTCACCTTCCTTACCGTCGGCTATGGAGACCTCTTCCCACACAGCTACTGTGGCCGCCTTATAGCGGGGTGGACCGGCCTTATGGGGGTCGGAATCATGGCACTCTCTGTTGCTGTCCTTGCCAAAAACTTAGAACAGTCTCGCTCAGAGAAGTATGTGCATACATTTGTACAGCAAATAGCTTTGGACAAAAAGCGTAAACACGCAGCAGCGAACATTATTAAACAGATGATCAGGATATATAAAATGAGGAAGGCAAAGCTTCCTGAGAGGTCCTCGCAAATGCTACTCCACAGGACCAAGCTGTTGAAGGCCATCAGGTCCATGCATGAGGCACAGTTCGTGAAGATCCACCTGCAGGAGTGTACAGTGGGGCCGGTAGAACTAGCCACGGGGTTGAACGACATGCAGGCGTGCATCAAGTCTGTCCAAGAGGAGCAGAAGCATCTGGGTCAGAGGATCGCCACCATAGAAGCACTGTCTCTCAGCATGAGTGCACAGGTTCTGGAAATCAAGGAGATCATAGCCAAGAAGAAGATATTCTAGGAGGAGACGACGACAACGACTACGAACATGCGAGTGATGATTCTGAATACAACAACGGTGATCATGAAAATCAGGTGTCCACGGTGTTTACGGAGTTTCGATAAAGGTGATGATGGTGTTGATGACTGCTAATAACGTCAACGTTTCCTGAGAGATTCTGAAGAGGATGTTGGTGATAATGCAGAGGATAATGGCTACCGTGAGATTCTGAACAATGTTAATAACGACGATATCGCTCATTATGAAGCTCCGAAGAGGATGACGATGATGATGACGATAATGAAGATTGAGAGCTCTGTTAGAAAGGCGATAATAGAGATCATAAGATTCCAGTGATGATAGTACCGATGATGTTAACTCCTGGAATTCTTCAAGACAAGACGGAATAACGGCCGGATTGCACTTACTGTGAGATCGGTGCACATGATGCCAATCACTGGAGTCTCTGACATATGGCTGGAATATTGCTGAATATTTCGTTAAATAATAAACAATACACCGTGCACCTGTTGTGGTGAAACATTAGTGAGCATTACAGGGAGGGAGATGTTGATGTTATGAAACATTATTGAGCATTACAGAGCGAGAGAAGCCATGCGCTTGGCAATGAATACAGAAGACATCCTATGACTTAAAAACTAGTCGGTCGAGTTAAAATGTTATGTCCTTCTTCATCAGTGTAGTGTAATGATGCAAGCACAGAGTTACTAGTCCGTTCGCTAGGATACATTATCTTCTTTAATGAGTTTCCACATAAAATGCACTGGGTGTTTGGAATCGTGCAACTACGTGCACATTAGTTGCTGAATAAATAATCATCGCCATTCACTAACCATTCATACTTATAAGGGGAGTGGTTTTTTAGAAATATTGATTTTATGAACAGTTTATGAAAAACGTGCACATTAGTTGCTAAATAAATAATCATCGCCATTCACTAACCATTCATACTTATAAGGGGAGTGTTTTTTAGAAATATTGATTTTATGAACAGTTTATGAAAAACGGGAAATTATTTCGAATATGCCAACGCTTTTCTTTTTTGCAATGTTATCCTTTGATGGTTTTGCATATTTAAGGAAAAGGTTTGGTTTAAAGGGGAAAAGGTGACTGATTTAGGTTCTGGGGCACACACAGCATATGCTGCCGATTAAACAGACTCCTTTAACGTATTTAGATAAGTTCGTTATAACTGAAAATTATGAAACCAAAGCTTAAGTTGATAGAGGGAAGGAAAGATATTCAATTACATTCAATGTTGAGTATGTACACAGTTGACTCCCGTTATATCGAATGTTTGACAGAAAGTAGTCCAATATATCGAGATAAACGAGTGTGATATTTGAGAGTCGACTGATAGTCAATATAATATAACCAAAGATAATACAGTATATCAAACTCCAAACTTCCTCGACATAAAAGCTGATTTTATTGTACCCAAATTATTCGTGACTTCAAGGGATGACGTCACTCAGTATTACGCTTGTCACGTGACACGTATGATGCAGCATTGGTTCATTGCAGTCACATGACCTATATAATGTCAATCAATCTCAGGTTCGGACAGAGTGTGTCCACGCGAAGTAATATATCACCGCATGTAAATAATGTTTTGGCACATTTTTATTTCTTTGAAGAATGTATAGAATTATCACAGACACTATTTGGTTCATTTCAATACAATAATGCACAATAATTTCAAGTTCACCCCTACGGGTATGCTATTATACAGAGTACAGGTCCCAGGGCCATGTTCCTCATGCAATCTTAGCCCTTAAACTGTCCTGTTTCACAAATTTAACAAAGTTTTAAGTCTCATGGGAATATTTTATTAAAATTTAAACAGCGATCATGTGCAAACACTTGTTGATTGGATATTGGACACATTATAATTGCTATTTTAATATTATAACGTTAAGTATGAGTTGCGATCGTCTCAGCTCTAAGATAGCTTTGAGGAACGGCCCAGGTTTGTTTTGTATAATTTCTCCATTGTTGTGTATATGTTTAGTGATGAAGAATTATTGTGCTTGTTGTGTTTTTGTAATCACAGTTTGGACATTGCCTTGTTGTACAGTGCTATATGCAATGTGTAAATGTGTTTGAATTCGAAAAAAATGTTAATTCATTTAAGATAATCAATCATTTCGAAACAATTTACCCCCAAAGGAGCTTTCTGGTAAATTTGTTTCATCAAAATTCTCGTTTATGTGATGATATTTTTTACTAAAACAGCCGTAACTTCGGCATAACCGTTAGTACCGCGGTCTTTACATCAGTTTTAAGTTTATTAAATGTTCAATATTGCATAACAAAATGCATGCTTCATTTCTTGTGAATAATTCATTATCGGAAATTGTGATGCTGAACATAGATTTTGCGGCTTCAGAATTGTTTGGGTTTTTAAGATTGATTTTATATTTTAAGTTAAAGCACGATGGTCCGATGCAATGTGAATAAACCCGTCACGTGCCTCTATAGCCTCTAAGCTGTGAGCAGCGTGTTGCCGCCATAATCAATGCATATACAATATATGTGCTGCACGACTGTTTAGAATATCAGCTGCGTCAATAGGCTAACTGTTTGGAAATATCCAAGGGTCCTCTTGGTAATTTCTTAACATTCCTTATCCGGGATCTGTACATAGATAGGGATGTGTTACAGTGGAAAGTCATTTGTTTCGACTCTGGGGAACCACCACAAATAGCCATAGTTACGAATTATCAATGTTCCATACCTCGTTACTATGACAACACGTGTTCTTGAGAATTTGGACAAGATATCTTTGACGTCTGGTATTATGAAAAATATATTTTTAGTTGATAATGAAGCTGTAAGCCTTCTGACTGTAAGCCTTCAGACTGTAAGTCCCACGTACGTTCCAATATTTGCACCTTCGGGGAGTACGTGTTTGGAAATTGTGTAAGGGCAGATAACTCTTGATGGACGTTTACCACAGTTAAGTTATGAATGTTCACAATATAAAGTTGACTGTCACATAGTAAGCTCACATCTACCAGCAATTACCGGTTCACAACTCGAATGATCTCTCAATGCTAGGTCAATTAATATTATATTTTCATCGATTTCCCAGCTCACGCTCACAGAAATGTCAAATCAATTTTGGACATACATATTTCTGACTTGTAACTGGTACTTAATGTCCGAAGGAAGAATATAAACTATATGCGTGCACGTTAACTTGATAAGAACATTTTGGAAACACTTCGGAGCTTTTAGAAGTTTCTTTTTCATGATACATACAAAGAACATAAAGCAGAATAAATGTATAGCGAGTTTCTAACTTTTCCAACCCGTGCCGTTATTTATGTAGAGAAAACAAAACTTCCTGGTCTCAGCCAGAAATCTTACTTTTTGAGCGCGCAGCTATTAATCTGGTGTGTGAACGGAATCTTCTGAGAGTCGAACATGTGTATATGTCGATATTTCCTCATGACGTCACAGTTTGTTTGCTTGGTTGTAACAAAGTGTAATATAGTTATATATCAACATTTATTTTACCAGAGAATATATTTTGACAGACGTTTATTTACCAATAATGCAGAAATCTAGATGTACCGCACGAGCGTGTACCAACAAATAAACGTGAGTTCCCTCATGTTCAGCCTATCCTGAGTTAGGTTCATGTCAGTATTGCTGTACTATGGTACAAATGTTTACCTGGCAGTGACGCTTAGAATTCTAATTGCAACTCTGAATCGAGAGCGTCATGGCTGGAATCTGCTGCCGTCAAACGTGCTGGTGTGTGTTCACTCCGACCGTTGTGTCTGTGATATAATACTGGTTACGTTTAGAGAAACTCGGAAAACAATTGATTGTCTCACCGGACCTACTGACTCTTGGCGGAAAATGTCGATCGTAGGAAGGAGCTGTTCCAAGTAATATAACATTAAGTTAGTTTAGGGGTTTTAAATACCGTCGGTTTCATGAGACTGGCCGAATTTACAAACTATATCACACCGGACGACTATCTGTCATACCTGGACGAGGTTCAGAATTGATATTTGCCTGGTTGTATTCCGGTTGAAACCAAATAGTATTAAGCACATATTGTGAAATTAGGAACGAAAAAATAATTGAATAATGTTCTATATATATTGTGAAAATAGGAACGAAAAAATAATTGAATAATGTTCTATATATTAACAAATATGTGTTGTTCAAAAGAGATTCTGAATCCCCGGTATGGTGTCCTGGTGATCGGTAAACTTCGGTAGCTCTTCTCCGACTGAAATGGTCTTTTCGTTGTACATACGACTTTGATGTGATAATGTGCTTGAGAAATGACTCTAATTAACCGATGTGATAATATGCTTGAGAAATGGCTCTAATTAACCCTTACAGAAACGTTGGGGTAGTATATGGCAGATATAGACGGCAGGCGTCACAGTTTGTTTAACTTCCGGTTACATGACCTTTGTCCAAGGGCCACAAGGTCGTTATGGCATTTTCTTGAGCAGACTATTTACTTTTTAGTTAGCTAACAGTTGAAGCGACGGGTGATATCGAGGCAGAATGGAAAGGTACTCTCTAGTCGTGGGCTGTACGTTTGTCTTTAACAATTAAACACTGGGTGTTTTGTTACATTGATGTATGCACGAACCCGCCCCCATTGTCTTTCAAGGTCATCGGCCTGAGTGTCCCGCTCATCCTATAACATGTAGGGATATAATGTAATTATCATGTATTGCTTTTGCTAGTATCATATGCTTGTCTTGATGTTTTTAAGCATTGAACGATCTATTAAACCGTTTTTATCATTTGGATATTGTAACAAAAACTGTTTCGCTTGGTTTCGCGAAAACGATGATTTCAGAGTCCGTTATTTCCAAACAGTGGGGAGGTAACTCTCAACGTCACAGTTCTTACCAGCAAACTGTGACAGTAATACATATTCTTTCACGTGACTGTCACACAGCACACTGTACACGTACTCCTGCCATGCTGCAGATTTCGAAAATATTTTTCTTTTTGTATTTAAAACTGAACGTGGAAATTCAATAACCTCCTTTCTAATTAAACCGCCATGTTGTACGAACTGGATGCGGAGGGGTTCAGTCGTACATTGCATTTAAAGACAGTTTCTTTTCCCTAAAGGCTCCGAGTTACCATATTAAAAAACAAACACAAAATGTAAAATGCCGGATGTCCAATGACACGGATCTTGATTTCCTAAAACACGTTTGGCATGATTTAACCTCTGATACCACATACGCTTTATCATTACTATCATGATAATAATACTTATGATAGAAATTAGGATCACGTTTGTCTTTTTCGTACACTAGCACAAACACTGATGTTTTCTACATGGCGTTTGTATTAGAAACCCACCTGCAATTTGCCTGGCTGGGTCGTCAATCTTCAGTTGGAAACACCCACTCTGTAGCTGTATATATGTGATTGCAATGAAAGGTAGACGGTGGCTAGACTGACCCCGTCTACCCAGACACAGCCCACGACTCGACAGAGCACCATGAACCACTATTCTATATTTCATGTTTATCCCATAGTTCATGAATAAAAGCACTGAATGAACAATATACTGGTTATGTCATCATTCATTTTGTTTTTGCCTTTTCAAGTGAGTCAGTATGGTTTTACCCCGCTTTTAGCAATATTCCAGCAATGTCACGGCGGGGGACACCAGAAATGGGCTTCACACATTTTACCCATGTGGGGAATCGAACCCGGGTCTTCAGTCTGACGAGCGAACGCTTTAACCATTAGGTTTCCCCACCGCTACCATTTGCCTTTTCATCTCCGTGTTCATATTTTCGCACAAATCATTATTAATCTTTGTAATAGTTCACTTCAAGGATTCCCAATGTTGTTGGGTATTTTTCAAAGATAGAAGGCCTATT